TTTTAATTTTTTTTTATATATATTTATCTATATCTTTTCTACTTTCATATTTCTATATCACTTTCTCTTAAAGAACCGATATAGAATTTTTTTTCGAGACTTCTATATCACTTTCTCTTAAAGAACCGATATAGAATTATTTTTTGAAACTTGCGTTCTTTTATATATCACTTTTCTATATCACTTTTCTATGTCACTTTCTTTTAAAGAACCGATATAGAATTGTTTTTTGGAGGCTTATGCTCCTTATATTTATTCTAGTTTATCTTTGCAAAAATATATTTAAATATATATTTGAAATATATATATTTAAATATATATTTTTCCTTTTCTTTTATTCTATCTCATCTATTTACATATGGTACGCTTTTATCGGGTGGGTATATACTTTCTTTAAATCAAATAAAATATAAAAACTCGGTCGCGAAAGTAAAATAAATTTAAAATAATACTTTTTAATTTTAAAACAACTGCCCCTCGCGTAAAATATTTGATAGATTTTAAAACTTTTCAAAGTAGGTAGGTAAATAGGTATAGGCTGTGTAGGTAGGGATGCGTATCTACAAGCGCTTGTAGAAAATATATTAGGCCGGGTAGGTAGGAAATATGGTAGACCGAATAAGTAGGAAGAAATCAAAATGTCAAATTAGGATCAAGGTTGTTATGCAACCTTAATCCTAATTAATAAGGCTAACGTTTAAGATATGTCAGATGTCTAAGATAGGTAGGTAGGTAGGTAGGATTATATATACTATGTATGTTGTATAATATTGTATTATATTGTATGTTATATGTAATATATGTAAATTATTGTATTCTATTATAATGTATAAAAAATTGTAAAATGAAACTTGAAAATTGAAAACACACTGATAAAGAATTGTAATAAAGCAGAGTAATAGATATCCTTTTTGGAATTGCAACTTTTCAGACGTATATATTTGTGTACCGGCAAAACACCTTTGTGTAATATAACATGTCTTTTTGTGTAATTTGTATTTATACGTATATATGTAGTTTTTGAGAAAATAAAATAAAATTTATAAAGCAAAAAGCAGCAAATGATGATGTAAAAGGAGATGATACACTCCACGAATTCTGATGCTGCTCGCTAAAATAATATTATTTTCTTCGCTATCACATCTTTTCTTGTATATCACATTTATGTTGTGTGGAAAGTTGCAATGTTTTTTTTTTAATCCTTTTCTGTTCTCCTTTCGTATCTTTTCATCATGAGACCGATCATTTTAAATTTCAAAAGAAATTAAATCCACGCTCTCGAATATACTCACACGCCTGAAGAAGGTGACCATTTGGACGCGTGCACATAGCACAGAATAGAACCGCACGCTGTGGACATAGCGTACCGACATGTCGCTCGTGGACTGGCTGCGTAGTTCCAATGTGTACCACTCGTGGACATGCGCTAGTTTACGGGGCGGAAAAGTGATTACATATTCTCTTATGGACCTGGGGGTCGATTGTGTATCACGAAGTCTAGTAAAAATCATAAAAGTGAGCAAATTTACTAGTTGTTGACCAATAAGATCATAGATATCATAGTAAATTTGCTCACCTTTGTACTTTTCACTACACTGCGTGATACACAATCGACCCTCTGGCCGCTCTCAGACGTCTCTCTGTTGGCAACTACGTAGCCATGTCCACGAACGACTTGTCGGTACGTATGTTATGTTCAAATGTGAACATGGTTCTCCTCTGTGTCCACAACCGGTTCTATTCCGTGATATGTGGAAGGCCAAGGAAAAGTTCCACTTGCCGTTTGCAGACGTTACCTAGTGGCCAAGCAAAAATTATAATTTTTCAACGAAAGGTTAATGACCTTTACCGAAAAGTCAATGACCTTACCATAGACACGGTGAGGTCCCTAACCTTGAGGTATCCGACATTACGTGTGTGTGTGTGTGTGTGTACGGATAATCTTTTTCCTTCTTGATGTCACTTTTCGTGTTGTTCTTCTCAAGAGCGAAAATCAACTACGAAGTATTCTTAAGAAAAGATGTTTTTTTTTTTTGACAGCACTCTCGTGTTATGTTTTGCAAGTACAATTGACAAAGCGCAAAGACGCGTTAAATATTCAGATGCCCGTAAAATATTCAGCGACGATTATAATAATATATTCCTTACATTTGCATTAGGGAAGCGATCGTGTATCTATGCAAAGTAGTGAAAATTACAAAAGTAAGAAAATTTGCTAGTTTGTTGACTAAAATGAAATCATAGATATTTTAGTAAATTCGCTTTTGTAATTTTCACTTACATTGCATGATAAGTACACAATTGATCCCCAGTAATCGCGCACGAAGAACATGACATTGCAATTTTCACAACGTGATTAAACGTGGAAAAATTATTCATAGTGAGTAAATAGTGAGTCGGCCGCTCACAGGCTTCTCTCTGCTTAAAAAAATCAATCAAACTTGCGAGCTAACTTAATCTGTAACAAAAAGAACATGCAAGGAATATGACAATTCCAATGAACTTTGTAATATTAAGTCTGTTCTTTTTCCATACTTTGGTTGCACTAGTTTACAGTCTATCTTTCCTTTTAATATAGATAAAAAAAGATAGACTGTGAACTAGTGCAGCTAAAGTATGGAAAAAGAACAGACCTATTAACAACAGAGGCGCTAAAATTGTTAGGTCGGATCTGCAACAGTCGGTTGTTGCGAGTTGCACTTGCAACACTTGAAACTGATCAATAGCAATTGGTCGAGTACGAATTGTTATAAATTATATAAAATAAATAAAAGTTGAAAAAAGATAAAATACAATTACATAGATGTTACATCCTATTGCGAATTTGAAGGTAAAGACTTAAAAAATAAATATATATGTATTTATAAGAGAGTTGTAATATTTTATATATTATCTATGCAAATGTTTTAAACAACTTCAATGGATGTTCTTTCATAAAAATGTGGCGCTGCTTCCAACAACAATTCTGGTTGTATAACAGTCAGATCCTTCATGTAAGCTTTATTTGTTTGCACAACTTCGCAAAACAGCAACCTAGAATAAATTAAAATGAAATTAAAGGAGCTTAACATAAAAAAAAAAAAAGAGAGAAACGTAACAATTTATTCTTACCATTGCGGTTGCTGCAAAGTATACAAGCAACTATTTGGATGAATATACAAGTCTTTGTCTTTGGTACCTCGTACCGTTCTGTACACGCCTGTGTAATGTAAATACGCTGCTTTAGGGAAGAGACCAGCCACTAAACACTTAAGAATTTGTTGGACATTTCCTGAAAAAATGAAAAAAATTATAAATTTGTATTTCAAAATTCAATATATATATAGAGAGAAATACGATTTATTAGTCAAATCTTGAGTTTACCATTGCAAGTTGTTAACGGAATGTTTAGACGTTTCAGCATTTTGTGCATCTGCACGCGAATCTCGGTAGCTCTCCGCAGAGCTTTGTGATTGAGGAAATATTTCTGACACCAGGCGGGAGTTTTATTCTGATCAAAAGCCGTATAAACGTTAAGCAAGGTGAGAAGATCACCCTCTTCTACCTCGAATTTTCGATGCGCTATTCTCGCTTTTAGAGCCGCCTGCCCTCCACCGGGTTGTATAAAAACATTTTGAACTTGCAGCATAGCAAGTATCGTTGTAATTTCTTCGGAACAACCTATCTCACCTGTCGTCAATCAATCAAACATCAGATTGATCATCGTTGAACTCATTGCTGATTACAATTTCATACTTAAATTTTTTTTAATTGAAAAGTTTTGAATTAAACGAAATATTTTTATCGTATTATTCATACCAGAAGCGATTAAAGATTTTGCTAACACCGGTTCCAAAGGTATCTCAGCCATCGTCAGTCCCAACGGTGTTGTCAACTCCCCATTGCCGTCGATCGCGCCCAACGCGTAGAGCAATTCGAAGCCCGCGATCAAATTCTTGCTGTGCGGCGCGGACGGAAAATTAAATCGCACAACATTATCGATGCCCAGCGCTTTCAATTGCAATATGGCCGGCGCCAAATCTGATCGTTGCATTTCCGGTGGTGTAGCCTTGAATAATTCGGTGTAAGCCTCCTCCGTGTACAATCTGATGTAATATATTACAGGATCATTTTATTTTTTATTTAACAGAACGCAACAACTTTTTTAATTTAAAAAATTGAAATATTGATCTTATTTAAAACGATAAATGTGCCACGTGAATTATTTAAAAAAATTACTCGCGTCAGCAAATTCAATTTATTTATATTGTTTGCCTTCTATCTTCTACCTGTAAGCTTTTCCTGTGCGGACGCGACCTGCGCGACCGGCTCGTTGATCGGCTGAAGCTTTCGATACGGGCACGATAACGAGATTATCTGTCTGTGTTTCAGTGTCGAACCAAGGTATCTTGACGAAACCGCTATCAATAACTGCGCATTGCAAAAATAAATTTCCGTTTGAATCATCGTCGAGATAATCTCCGAGATATCGGCTACGAGAGAAAAATTAAAAGAAAACAAACAAAAACAACCAATACCGTAAACTACATTTGGAATGGTAATAGACGTTTCGGCGATGTTGGTCGCTACGATAACTTTACGAGTGTCTTTGGCGGCTCTCCAAAAGACCTTTAACTGCTCCGAGTTTGGAAGCGATCCGTACATCGGCAACGGAAGTAATTTTTCTGAAAATCGATGGTTTTTCCTCAATAAAACATTTTTATTATAAAATTAAAAATAATGTAAAAATTTCCAAAACACAAAAATATGACGACGAATCGTCACTCACGTTTGCCGTCTTTGATCAGTTTCGCGTGTTCCAATAAAAGAGAAACAGCTTGATCGACTTCGTCGAGTCCCGTGAGGAACGCCAAGATATCGCCCGGTTCTTCCGTTTCGTGTATTTTTAGAACGGTATCTACCACACCGTTAACGTAATTTGCCACAGGTTCTGCAACGCAATTCACGCGGTTTCAATTAAATATACGCGTTTCAATTAAACACACGCGTAAGCTACACGATGACGAAATATCAGTCAGTTCCGTAGAAACAATTTTCTTTCTATACCTTTCAGAAAAAATACTTCTACTGGATATAATCGCCCTTCAACGCTCATGATAACGGCGCTATCTTTGTCCGAGTCTTTTGTTGCATTAACGTTAAAGAAGTCTCGTAGCTCCTCCGCGTCGACCGTCGCCGATGAAACGACAATTCTCAGACTCTTTCGTTTCTGCAACGTCACAAATCTCATGTTTCATTTCATGTCGCGTTTTCCGCACGCGAGTACGTGCGCGCGCGTCTGCCAATAATTAAAAAAAAAAAAAAAAAAATTAATCAATCAATTTACCCTAATTATTTTTTTCAACAGTCCCATTATGATGTCAGTCTGAAGCGTTCTCTCGTGCACCTCGTCCAATATAATAACCGAGTAGCTCGTTAACAACGGATCGCTCATTAATTCTCGTAGAAGAATACCTTCGGTCATGTACTACAAAGACGATTGTTTTCATCAGTATTCTCGAAGTTTATACACACAAAACATTAACATAAAATAAACGTTAAGATTATTATGTTGTAAATTTTGATTTAATTAATGTAAGTGCACGTATGTATATTGGGCGGATACTATTACTTCGTGCTCCTTTGTAATGAAGTGAAATGTAATTAATGCAAGTTGTGTCAGTGCTTTATTTCACGCAGAAGTGCCGCACCTTAATCTTGGTTGTTTCATCAGTGTAATCATCGAAGCGTATGGAGTAGCCGACTGTGGTACCTAGAACACAATTGCGTTCGTCGGCCACACGAGCCGCCAAGGAGGTAGCCGCGACCCTTCTGGGCTCCGTGATGCCGATCTTTTTCCCGTCTGCGCACCATCCTGCCTCAAGTAGATACTGAAGAGCGATAAACAGGACAACATTTATCTATAATTCGACGCTAAAATTTTGTTTCAAAAATCAACTTAGTTTATATTCTTAGAACAACAAACTTTTTTTACAAACTCCGAGAACTCGGATGAAACAAAACTATTTGTGATAACTGTCACAAAAAAAACAATTCTTTTCTTATTAATTAACAGAATTATTATATTTTTATTTTAAAAATATATTTGCACGTATGTGTAAATTGTGGAAAATTTGTTTGTGTAATTCCGAACGGTTGTTTGTTGCAAACGCTGAGAGGATTTATTTTACCAAAGGGACACAAGAAGAAAACCAACACGTGATTAATCCTTTCGCTCCTAACTTCAGTCGTCATCCGCGAAACGGCTCTGTATTACCCGTTAGAATTATTGCCATTCAATTTTAATCCATACCAAGTCTTGTTTGCTTGTGAAATTGGTGATAATTAAATTGAAATATTAGGTGATTTAATGAATTTTAATATAATATAAATATGTGCGTGTGCATCAGCACGTAACTCACGCGCGTCTCGTATAATACACGGCGTTTATATATCATGTGTGCGTTTCGCAGTAGGGACAACCGTAAGACGAAAGGATTAAATAAGATGAATTGATTGTGTAAAAAGAGTTTTACTGTAACGTTTATGTTATAAAAATAATACAAGGCAAGCTGCAGCGTTATAAAATTCGACGAGAAATATCGAACGCAACTATATATACATATATGTATATATGTATCGCAATTGCACGTTACCTGTAGAACATTGTGAGGCTTACGGTCTTTTTGTCGCGTAAGTTTTTGCTAAGTCATACTGGAGAGTTAGGTAACGCACTTGGCACGGTATTAGATAAAAATGCCTAACTACAGTCAATAACTGACCTATTTCGATGTAGATATAATGCAAATTGTCTCGTGTCGCAGATACAAAATGAATAAAAACCTTCGAGAATATTTCTCATTGGTTTACCTCACATATTCCAAATTTTTATGTTACGAACTACAGTTTTATGTGTGTATAATATTTCAAGTAGAGCAAAATCACGCGTATATGTAAAAAATTGCAATATTGTTTACGGAAGTACAGTGTCTTAAAATCATTTCACACTAATGTATTATTATATATTTTACACACATAGAATTAATATAATTTATATAATAAACATGTACCGTATATATATTTAGTTTTCAAAATATTTAGAAACAGTATGCACATATCCTCTAAAAATTATTATTAATTTTATATATTACTATATATACGATAAAACGTCAATAAATTATAATATATAACAACACAAGTTACATGACACGTAAAAATGACTTTTTACTTGTTTATTAATATATCGAACACTTTCAAGAATAAAATTACGTAGTTAATTCGTAATAATCGTCGTTTTAAGCAGTTTTTTTTTTTTTTTTTAATTTGTAATTTCATATTGCATCTTCCTACGAAATATGTTCTTTCTTGAAATATTGTTTGACTTTCAAGATCAAAACGCGAAATGATTGTTATAATTTTAGTCATGGTAATTGCGTAAAATATTTACTTTTTTTACTTACTAGAAAATCAGTTTAAAAAATGTGAAAAATATAGATATGTGTTTTGACTATTGCAAAAGAATCATTAGTTATACTCTACTAAAACAAAAAAAAGACATTCACAACATAGTTTCACAGGCTTTATGATTGAAAAGTTTATTTCTTTCAACCTTTCTTCACAATCTGTCCACACAAAAAAAAAATTATAGAGAATATACATTTATATGAACATAACCCATAAATATTGTGAAAAAAAACCCCAAAAAACAAATATAAAGATATTTAATACGATTTGGAAATAAACTCTTCAATTGAACTGTCGTCATTAAAAATACGTAAGAACGCGAGACGTATATATATAACAAAAACTAGACTGTCATGGACCAGGAAGCGTATATAAGGAAAAGAATCGCAAATTTTCTTTCACCGACGATATTTCCATGTACGCGTTAGTATAATGAAGTTCGGTGATAAGGCTAAGCAACAACAGGACGGCGGGTAATTGCCACCATGCGAGTCTGACATACTCCCAGACGCGATCCACGAATATCGCCAGCAGCAGATAATCCATCATCGCATGAAAATTGAAAAGCTTCCAGGCAAGAGTAATGGACCAGAAGGACGGGCTTCTGAAGACGGCGGTCTGCTTATTGTAAAGGTCTTCCTGACTGATCAGAAAGACATCTCTCCTGTCGGTCTCCAGGAGATCTTGATACAAAGTTATGTATCGATTCCAGCCAATGCTTGACAGAGAAAAGTGAAGACCCACCATCAGCACATTATATAAAGGTGATTTCCAGGAGGGGACAGTGCAATGTGGCGATGGCGATGAAGACGACGAGGACAACGAAGGCGATGACAATGAAATCCAAGTGGTAGGCAGTCGTTCGTAACCAGCGCGACGATTGGGATTGCGCTTCAGGAAGAAGAATATTCCGATCAAAAGAGCGATGCAGCCAAGGCCGTCGCACACACCGTCCACGATGTAACCGATGGAACCGACGTCTGATCTCTCACCTTTGATGTTCAGTCTGGTTCTGGCTACGTGACCGTCCAGATCGTCTAACCAGGCTCTGACTTGAAATAAAAGGACGCCCACTCGTCTATGAGAAAGAGAACTTCGCGTGACGTATCGAGCACCGATCACAGCCACGACAACATGAGAAGCGCTGATTGCATTCGGCGTCACCCACGTCCAGAAACGACTGATGCCCAGCAGATCATCCACAAGGGCTGCCAGCGGACTCAAGACATAGTGATTAGGATGATCCAACATCATGGCCTTTACCGTCACTGTGCATAGTGGATTTAGGTCGCACGAGATCGGCGAGTGATACGGCGAGGTCAACGTGTTGTTTACGCGCGGTCGCACATCGTAATTCTGCACTCGGAAATAAAGCAGTACGTCCATGCCGATAAAGTATAGCGTAAATAGCAATAAAAACGCCAAACATGTTTTGGCGAAGGTCGGTAAGCACAACATCTTCGGAGAGATCGGAAACAATCACAATCGTTATATCACTTAATATTTCACTTTTTATTTATAATTACTTTCCTTTTATCTATTTATTTTAATTGCAATCGGTTATCGTACGTATTGTTAGTCTTTTTTTTTTTAATTTTATGTTATTAAGGCCGATACATTGCTGATCGCTAATTTCTATCTTTTAGCGATATTGATATATTCTCTAATTCATAGTGCGCAAGTATTTGCGCATATCATGATGACATCATGCGTTGCATGTTTATTATTTTAGCATGAAAATTAATCACTATAAAAATCTTATTTATCCTCTTCTTTTTTTTGCTAGAGATGCACTTTGAGTCCAAGCGATACTTTTAATTGTTTAACCTCCGCGCACTAAAATGTTAATAGTTCGTAGAAACCTATGCTTTTTATAGTCATGACACCGCGCTTACTTCACTGATAACTGACACCGTTTTGAAATGAAAACTACAACGTTGGAGAGTTAAATTAATTGTCCAGAAAGAGACAATTCTTTTCATTCGCAGAGCACATATAAAATCTCCCACTTCCCGCTTAGGTCTATATCGTGTCAGTGTCGTACAGTGTTCTGAAAAACCACATCACGCAACGTACTGCGTTTTCTTAAAAACCGACCGTTATCGCTTCCCCATTGATCAGATTACACGATGTCGCGTCAGTTGATATTCAAGTCAATTTATCTTGTTGGTAAAGAGACGAGGTATTCACACAGGACGCGTGTTTGTCTCCCGTCACTTTTGACATTTCTTTTTTTCCTTGAGATGTCGTGTGTAATCGCCAATCCATGCAGGTTGAACCATACTAACGGATGTCGCCGTTGCATCTACCGATCACGGGCTTCACTCTGTTCCGTAATAGGTCAATATTAGAGATCGATCGGCTGGGATTATATCCCTAATCCGATCCGAGAGCTCTAGCGCGCGCTCTCGTCGACGTGTTAACGCCCCCCCCGTCGAAGTATATGCTCGCTCAGGGAGAAGAGTTCCGCGTATACGTGTTCGCGTAGATAAAACAAAAAGCGATAACGACGACAAAAGAAGCGCCTTTCCTCCCGCGTTCTGTCTCTTAGATAATTTTTTTTTGTTTTTTTCAACTGCCTGTGTGAAAAGCACTTCTACGGCCGTTCTACTACTCGTTCGCATTCGTAGCATACACAAATATTACCGAAATCTCTCACACATACGCAAAGTGTCTATTTATAAGTTACGTTGGCGCGTTGAATTTCGTGAGTCACAAATATAAAAGATCTTTTTATTTATGCACAAAAATACAAAACGCTACATGTACGAACGAGACGGTGTTTAACGTTAAATGCAAAGTGAAACGCAAGATAGAAATCTTTACTTTTTTGAATAAATTGACGAAAAAAAAAAAATGTTATTTATAAAAGTCCAGACGTTAGCACAAAAATTTGTTGTGTTTCTTAAAGTATATATTATGTGTGCATTTTATACATATGGATTCTTCTGACATTGAATGGTTTCCAAAAATATTTGCGATAGAATTTTTTACATAGATTTAAATATTTTAGCATATATGTTACATTGATTGTGATTAGCATACATGTGTAAAAGATAAAATGTTCATGACATTTAAAGCGTACGGAGATACATATACATTAACTAGATGTCACTTTCTTAATCTTCCAAATTTTGAAAGAATAAATGAAAAAACTTTCAATTTTATTATTTAGTATTTGAGCACACATGCTACTCTTGTATATTTTTATAACTTCTTAACATTTATATTATATATATATATATTTCTATGGAGTTGTAAAATATGAAACTTAAATATATGTATACATATATATATATACTTGTTAAATTTCATACTTAATGTTATTGTTATTTAATTGTTATTTAATTTAAAATTAATTGTTATTTAAAACTTAAATAACAACTGTAATTATTGATGTTTATAAGAATTAAAATATTTTGTAAATATATATATACTATATAGATCAATAGGTCAAGATAATAGCAAATATGAATTATACACATATTGAAATCTCACCTGAGGTACTTGTGTGCTTTTGCCACAGCCTGTTTCACCTACCAGAACTAAAGTCTGATATTTTTCCAACAAGTAGATAATGTGATTTTTGTTTTTAAATATGGGCAAATGTTGACGTTGCATATCAAGTGCAAGAGAATGGTGTGCATTGTAAACAAATTGTGTTGATGAGTGGGCGTCAATATCAGGCTTATCTTCCTGCCACATGCTATCTCCTAATTAATAAAGTTATTTAGTTAACGTCTCACAAATTGTACAATTGTTAATTAATGAGATTTATATGTGGGATTTTGTGAAATCACATAGAGATTAAATTTAATCACAAAAATTCAAGGAAAGTCATTTTTTATTCGAAAAGACGGTGTACATCATTTATCACGTATGATATCGTTTTTTTATATTTTTACTATTCTGCAATATATAAAACCAAATGTAATTCAACGTAAAGAAAATGCAATAAACATGTGATCGATTAACATAACCTTACCTGGTCTGGAGAAAACTGGACGAAACATTTTTGGAAGAGCGTTAAAACAGCATTAACACGAGAAAGTTGATATATTATGTAATTAGAAAAATACAAAATGAACGAATGTTCAATACTATATATAAATAGACTTTCATGCTAAAATATTGCGCAGAGAAATGCAACGTATGATGTGACGTTATACAAACAAGTACGTATGTATACAGTTTCCTCTGGTACAACAGATGGCTCTCTTTTGCTATAGTCATTTAAAATTGCATCGCTCGCATGCAAAACATTTTTTTAAGAAAAAATGTAATTTTATATGAAATTTTAAAAATTATTACGTTTTAGTGTTCTAAAAATTACGGGTTTGTATTTTAAATTAATTATTTTATTGCTCGAAAGATAAGGCACAATTGTTTGAAAACTACTAACAATAAAACATTCATCCACATAAAATTGCGTGTTAAACTTGCACATTTTTTAAACTGTCACTCACATACGCACACGTATACACAAAAGGCACAAGCAGGGAGAAGAATATTGTACAAAACAAATATAGAGAACCATTTTTATTTGTATTAGCCGTTGAACACATTTTACCATTTCAAAAACACATATACATGTTACTTTACCCTTATTGTGATCGATGATATTACAAAGTAAACTAATAAACTAATAAAGTCGGAAATTATATAAACTACTGTCAAATATAACAGAGATAATTCTGCGATAAATAAAATGTAGATGCGCTTCGGAAGATAAAAAAAAAAAAAAAAAAAAGAAAAAAAACTAAACAAAAGTGTATGCAATTATGTAGTGACATGCAATTAGCAGTTAATTTGGATTAATGTCACATAAATTTCGAGATCGTGACCATCTTTTCTTGCCTTGTGTCAATTGCAGCTTTTCTGATTGAACCGATCGTTAATTCATTATTTTCTCATTAGAATGTTTAAACGAAATTTGTTTTCACTCATCAATGTGTTTCTATACACACATATAGGTACAGTGTGAAAACCGAGGTGAAGACAAGTTACACACATATATTGCGTCTCGTATACAATTATATATAATAAAAGGAATATATATATATATATATTTACTTTAATATTTAAAAATTACGTGAAACTTTTTGACAATTATATTATATTGTAATAAATTTGTCTCGTGTTCAACACGCTTTCCGAAAAATACTTTTACGCTTCTCGAAAAAAAAAATTTAACACACAAAAGACACTTATCGTGTTAGCTTTTTGACGTTTAATAATTTACCTAAACTCTAGATAAACATTTTCAGTTTTTTTTTCCAGTTTGGAAAAGTTACAGTTTGATATAAATAAAAATGTCACGAGACACACGCATGTTCAATATCATCTGTGAAAATGGCGCTCTCAACAGTAGTTCGGCGAACAGTTCTAACGTTATACAAAAGTCACAATCTATTTTTTTTTTTTTCGGGAATGTATTTTGATTCGCAGAAAAATATCCATATTCTATCTCCGATGTATATAGTCCAAGATGTGTATGTGTCTATGGCCTGTATTTATAGTTTCTATTGAGAAACTCCATATATAGAGAAACGAGCACTGAGATGTGATATATATGATTCAACAAACAAATCTTGAGACAGATACTATAAATACGGGCCCGTATATATGTATATGTATAGTACATAAGCTATATAAGCTACAAATGTGTGTGTCTGTGCGTCGGAAATGATGAAGACTAGCACAGTAAGTAGAAATTATGTTGCACAAATGTACCCATTATCCAGACATCGCACCATTGTTCGTCTCTCTCTTTCTCTTAGTGAGAAATATATTATTTCTAAATCATTATCTCTTCTGTATACGTTCTTATCTTAGAGCTCTAACGCTAAGTGAATATATAATATGTATGCACGGTGGATGCCAGTACAGATATGTTTACACTTTATACTAATAAAAATGGTAAATATGCGATTTTACAGAAAAACGTCGGACGCGTATCGTTATAATGCCAATCGAGTATTGAAACATTTGTAAAAGACACACACAATCATCCTGAACACAGAAAGTTTTTTTTTTTTTTTTAACACTTTATCGACAAATGTACGAGTTTGTGTTCAAAAAATAAATAGCAGGTGCTTACGCAGTTGACTAGTTTTTTGTTTAATTTGCGTAATAATTCGCACATTATAAAATAAAATAAATTTGTACAACTATTGGCTCACATTTATCTTTTCACTTTTTTTTTTTGGATCAATCTATCCATTCATATTGATGTGAATTTAAAACACAACTTACATATTTTTAATGCTGCCATAATTTCAAATGCTTGCAATTAAATAATCAATATGACACTGTCGATAAAGTGTTAATACACGATAAACACATTAAATATTCTATTTGTTTCGTTTCTTTTATGCTCGCCATTCCTTTCCTGAAAATGCACAGAAGATCGATCTGCCCTGGCTTCACACTCAGTAGTTAAAATTGCATCTATAGATTAGGTCTGTTTGTCAATAATGAATAAGAGAATATTAGGCCGCAGCCTTCTCCGCGTCGCCGTTATTCTCGGCCTCGGCGCAGTTTTCATCGAGTCTCGATTTCTTCTCAGGACTCGCACCATCTGCATCTTCTGTTGCATCGGCCGCAGCTGTTGATTTCCTCTTTACGTGACAGCTGTCAGCTGGAGCATCTAAGATCATAAATAAAATAGTTTATTTCTATATGTAATCTCTCCAGGTATCGCAGGAAAACAAATTTCAACACATACCTGTTGTGTCTCCATTCTCTGTAGATTCTTCCTTCTCGTCAACCTCTTTTTCCTCGCTTGAACCATTTTCTTTGGTTTCTTTTGTGTCACCATTCTCAGATGTTTTTGAATCCTCGTCAATCTCCTCTTGTACTATTTTCTCTTCTTCCACTACTTTCTTCTGCGGAGTGGTGACTTTTGTTTCCCTGAAAGAGAGCACCGTATGACAATAAATGTATACAAACTTAAGTCTGTATGCAGATCAAGAATAAGTGTGTAAATTAAGTTTCTAGTATAATCTCTCTTTATAAATCAATTATTTTATCAAGTATACTTTGAAGTTCATAAATCAATTATTGTTATGAGAAATATATTATTTTTATTTATAAATGAAAATTGTTTTTGTCATGTATTAAAGTATATACGCGTTGTAAATACACCAATATACTTGATTACTACGGCTCTGTTTCGAAAGAAACCGCAAATAATAAAAATAAGCGTGTGATATACATTTCCCGTTCAAACTCGCGAGTTGTTGCTGATGCGCTCCCGCTTCGGTATTTGCTGGCGTTTCACATTGTCGGACGGCAACAAAGACAACGCGACGAAACGGAGTGAAATAGAGATAGGACGCCGCTAACCGTGGCGGCACCTAGCGAGGTTAATATTATCCTCTCTTCCCTTCGCGTCGCCGGCCGCCGCGCGCGACCACCCGCCATCGTTGTGCCTACCATCACATACACAACTGCTTACTACCACACATTCATTGCGATCTACGTTGATAGCTCCGGCGTGGTGAATTGTGGGCGCCCGTGGCCGTAACGTGATGCGCGCGCGTGTGTGCGTATGTGTGTATAATACGCTACAATGTACGCGCGATACACACCGTATCCTTACGGATTCTTTTTCAACGTCGGTCTCTTTACGCGTGTGTAGAAAACTCAAAGAATGCCGTTATTTCTAACTGCCGTTCTTGAAAGCAGATATTGAGACCAATGTATAACTGAGAAAACCGGCTCAGAAAACAAAAATCTAGATAATTGTTTATTTATTCTTGTTTGTTTTTTGTTTACATCTCAACATATAAGTCTCTTCAGATTCATCGGGATTTATAGCAGTTCACGAGAAGAGAAGAAATTTATACGCGGGAAATGTTAGACGACAAAATTGTTGTTGCCCAACATCGTCGTTACGTTATCACCGGCGACGTCTAATCGATACGTCGTCGACCGCTTTCACGTAGATGTGCGCGTGGCGAAGGAAAGACCGGCAGCCACGACGACGATTTCTCTCCCGTCGAGGGAGAAAGTCACGTGAGAAAAGAACATTCTCGTCTCGCAACAATAATCGAGGAAGAGAGTAATCGTCCTCGTGTATCCATTCGTCCTTTTCGTGGGGGGATGGTTCCCGCGGAAACTGTGTGCGTGTGTGTGTGTGTGTGTGTGTGTGTATACAAGCCAGCACGCGCGCGTGTATACGTACATATACATAGACAACGTAAACAAACGAGCGAAGTGGTCGAGCGCGAGGGACAAAAGGAACACGAAGGCCGCCCGCGCCGATCGACCACGATGTGTGTTCGTCGTCTTCGATCGTGCGCGAGCGGCGAGGAAACAGGGGAGCAGAAAGAGGAAAAGAGAATCCGGCGCGGGACGGACGATGCCGCCATAAAGCTGCCGCAAGTAGAGCACGCGTTGGGTCGCGTCGCGCGCGCGGCAGCAAGGGCAGGTAATTTCCAGCGATCGTTAGGCGGTACCGCGAATCAGCCTGAGAACATCGTCGCGACGAGATAGAAAGAGAGAGAGAGAGAGAAAAGAGGGGCATCGGCTCTCGACGATTCGTCCCACCGCGCACACCGCCCCTTCCTCCTCTCACCGTTACCTTTCTCATGTATAATACCGCGAATATCTCTCCGCGATAATTCGAAAGCGATCGCGCGACGAGAAAAACGAGAATAAAGATTCGTGGAAAAAAACCAACACGATCGGCGGAAACCGCGACTCGCGGATGCGAACGCGCCGCCGGAACGAGACGCTTAACGCGGGGCGCGCGTGGTCCGCGCGATTTTTCTGTCGACGAATCGATATCTTGGATTATTTATTTTCACACTGGCATGTGTATAATACTCACTTGGTTTCCGTGTCCGCCATAGCGAATCGATTTGATCTTGAGAAAATGCACCCACAAAATGATAAGCGAACTCCTCAAAAAGCACACTTCGCCGACGCAACGATTACGCGTCTTCTACGCACCGGTAAGCACACGTAGGAGATTCCAGTAACACCGCTGCCGCGTACCGACGCGCAAATGGCAGAGAGAAACGCGCACTGATTCGCTCGAGACTCGAGCGGCCCGGCCCGGCCGGCGGACCGGCGGCCTTCAAACGCTTTTCTTTCCCGCTCGTTTACAGATGGCGGGACCGTCGCGCGTCCTGCGCGCGCGCGCCGCGCGCATCAAAAATCTCACGAGCCTCGGTTGCGAATTTAAATAATAAAAATAGGTATGTAATAAAAAATATATATTTATGAGAGAACATGAGAGAACAATGTTGCGTAAGATCTTACATTGGAGTGACAATAAGGAATAAGATTAAAAACCTGTTAAAATAAGTGGAAGTAAAAGAATATCAAGTAAGACGATCCCCAAGACGTCTTTTACAAAGTTTTCCGGACTTTTGCGCTGTCTAAAAATTACAACTGTAGTATGAAAACAAGCAACATTATGCGAACGTTGCTGAAACAATGTCTACAATGTGTTTTGAAATATATCAGCATCATTGCCGGACCACATGTTTAAGAATGGACATAGCAAACCAAATTCTGCTAATTTATGTGAAAAATTAAGTCAGTTATATTGATAGAAGTTAATTTTGTTGATTTGTTTTTAGAAACGCAATTTGAAAGTTGAAACATCAGTTTCAACTTTCAAATTGCAATCGTCAGTAAGTAAACTTGTTAGTAAGTTCATTGTTTTGTGCTTCGAAATATTATGCACATGAGGCAAAAAGAGATCCGGAACCACAGGTGGAAACACGTCTGATTACTACCCACGCCATCGAAAGCAGGCAAGTTGAGGGAAATTACATGCACGTTGCAAACGCGGTCATTCAATTATTCGCGGCGTAAAGTCTGCCTTACGAAAGTAGCGACACCATCTCGATATGTCTCAACGATTCCCTCTCTCCTATCACCTCTCCCTTCCACCTCAACATCCAATTAGAATGCACCTTGAAAAATTCATGTACATCCGACATCAGCGGTATATTTCACCTTCAAGTGTGTTGTATTTTATTTTGTATGTCGAGAAATAATGTCTTAACGATTGACACGTGATATCGATTGAATCGACTCGCTCGCTCGTAGCGAGAATCGAACATTCAACAATCTCCGTGCGCGACGCGCTTGGGAAAGTTCTAGAAGTTTCGCGGTATGGCAGCGCTTCCGGTTTGCGGGAAAGGTGCGCGACGAGCGGCGCATCGTTGCACGACGCCTTTGCGTCCATGTTACAGGTTGCTCTCGAATTCGATAAATGGTAAGATTTCCCTCGCGTGGCAGCACGAAATTATAATATATCATCGCCGGAGAAATCGAGAGCTTCTTGAGCGTAAATATAGTATAGATATATTTGATTTCTTTTATATATATATATATAGACATATTTAAAGTTATATTTGTGAACTTTCAGAAAAAACTCTTGTTTCTTCTTCAAAAAAATGTGCATACGGTATTATCAAACAAAAGGTCAAAACTATAATTGCGTTATCAGGTTATCGGTTATTTATGTTTCGCACAGACAAACCGCGCATTGATTGTCAATGAGTTTTTCTTGGCTTCGTGATGATTGAATAAAATACAGACGTTCTTTATATTTATTTCTTATATAAAAAAAAAAAAAAAAAAAAAATGCGTTGAGAAATGTATTAGAAAAGGTTTGCATTTGTGTTGAAAGAAAAGAGGAATATTTTTCCTCGACAAAGATTTTTTGAAGGATCACAAAAACATACGCTCGCGTTAAGTAATTTAGCAATCATCACTCGGAGCACGCACACAGGCCACGCTTGCAACAGCCGTTCCGTAAATACATTTTTTGTTCTGGCACACGTGCCGGCAGTCCACGTAAGCACGAAGATAACCAGAGCGAACAGCAGCTGTCGTGTGCAGGTGAGGTGGCCAGATGCCTCCTTCCGAGTATCTTTCGACGAAAAACCTTTCAGACGTGCGGTACCCCCTTGTCAAAATTCGCTCGGACTTTTCGGAGCTGAACTTTCACGAGGGAAAGCAACGTTCAATGAACACGCATGCGCTTGTGTGAGAGCAAAATATTTGTTCTCTCACTTTTTTGCTTTCTCCCTCTTATTTTCTTTCTCTCTTCTTTTCTCTCTCTCTCTCTCTCTCTTTCTCTCTCTCCCTTCTCTCTCTTTGCTCGTCTCCCACACTTCCGAGACCGAAATTCGTAACGGTGGCTTAATATAAATTTCTCTCTTTTCGGGGCACTTACGTAATTGCCCGCGCGGCGAAATAATCGAAATGAATTAACGACGTCGATTAAAATGATGATAATTTGCCTGTCGATATACACACAACTTCGCAGTAGTCGGCTCATTCAAGTCGGATACAAACGATAAGAGCTCGGGTGTTTACTGGGTCAGTGGATGTGTTCGCCACGGGCGTGGATCTATTCCGACACGGCAGTAATCTATATTTCACCGGTGTGGCTTTTGCAGTGTGTTGCGGGACTGCTAAAGATAGCGACGCGCATCTAAATTTTCATTTCGCTCTGAACTGAATTCCCGCCTCAGCAAGCGGTGTCGCTCTTATTAAAGTGCACTTCACTATGCAGTTTCGGGTCTAGGTTCCCGAGACGCGGTAACTCCGCGTTTATGCTACATAAAGAGAGAGATAGAGAGAGAGAGAGAGAGAGAGAGAGAGAGAGAGAGAGAGAGA